ATCTTGAATTTATCAATTCCAAATTTAATGTACAATCTTTTCAAAAATAATTTAGTCTTTGCTAAATTGTACATTTAAATATTTATTTTAAATGTCCCCCCACCATACTCATGGAATACAACAATGAACTTTTAACTTTGGCAATGTTTAAATTTGTTTTTAAAATGTTACTATACAATGGTAAGTGTGTAAGAAAAGTAAATGAAAAAAATTTGATAACTTAAAATAAATTCAAAAATAGTTTAAAACTCATTTTTGGTAAAAATTTAAAATATATTTCATTATCAAGGCTGATGTTCTTGTTGTACATAACAAATCATGAATGCATAATCACCCTCATTTGAGAGAAAGAAAATAAATAATGACAGCTTCCTCTTCAGGAATATATCAATCAATGTTTATAATTCTTCCAACAAGGGTGTATAACTTCATTTACCTTAGTCAGGGTTAAGAGACAACTGTGCTGTCAAAAAACTTGCACAACTATGCCACACATTGATCATACAATGTTCAGATGATTTCAATGTGATAAATTGTTCAGATCATATGAAACAATCATTATTATCATAAGATGATAATATGAATTTTGCATATTAAATATGTATGTGACAAAGAAATTATATAAACAATGCCTGAATATAAAAGACAAAATTATAGAAGAAATCACTCCGTTTTAATAATATTTACAATATTAAACAGAGAAAAGAGGAGCAAGGAGTTAAGTTTTGGTATTTAAAGTCTTCCAATATGATTGTTATGACAATAAGCATATTTCAAAGTAATTCTCATGTAGATCTCCAATATATGTGCACCCAACCTCCTGCATTAGTTCCTTTACCTGTTAATCTATGATGCTGTTATTTGTAAATATTTGGACCTTTTGTATTAAAAGAAATACATGAGTTTTCTTTATTTTAGTTTTATGTTAGTAGTAGATTGCCCAGTAAGCATTTTTATCTCTTTTTTTAAAACTATGCAAATTTCTGTAATTTCTAAAAAAAAAAAAAATACCTTTGTTCTTTTCAAATGACAGATTGTGTTGTGATGTATATTTCTCTTTTTACTTCATTTCTATTTGAATCTCATTTTTAAGGATTTTACTGTCAATTGTTTCTAAAATGCCTGAAAAATGTTTCTTAAACTGTTTTCTGCAAATGACTGACTTTTGAATGAATATATGCTTGTCTCTCTTTTTAATTACTTTTGACTATTCTTTTTTCTGGGTATTCGAATTACCTTTTATATTAGTTTGTTCTATTTTAGTGTCTTTTTCATATCAATCGTTCTCAAACTTGACCTTTTGTAGCCATGTTGTTTGCTCTATTCTTTCTTATTTTTCTTCTCTAAGGAAATTCTTGCTTTATTTGTCTTTCTCATGCTTTGTTAATTTTACATGTTTTTATATATATATTATTATTTTTATATATACATTATTCTGTGCTACTATTTGTTTACTTTTCTATTTAGTTTTCTTTCATTCTTAGTTCTTTGGTTAGTTTATTTTTATCTATCAATTCTCGCTTTTCTTAAGGTTTATATGAGTTGTCTTTTCCTGATTTTCATAACCTTTCTGCATGCTGTTATTTCCAATTTGTTTTTTTGGTATGTTTTTCCTTTGCCTCAAGTAATATAAAAATACAAAGAACTTTCACATTTATAAGATTGTTTTAAATACACAATATTATTCTTTAAAACTGTGTATTCTTTTTAAATATAAAAATACATTTTTTTTTTTAAATTTTTATCATTTTGATATTTTATATAATTTTTTCATTCTGATAATTTGCTCTTTTTCTGTTACGCTATTTGATATTTAAATTCTTTTTATCTATTTATGTTTAATCTGTGATTTTGTACAACAATTTTTTATTTTGAACATTTTTTCAGCACTGATTACACAACTGCCTTACAGGTTATATTTGTCTATTGACAACAACAGTCTCCAAAATATTTTATGGAAATGAAATTTGATGGAACACAAGTATTCACATAAATCTCATCTGTAAAATAACAAAGTAACATTTATATGCTAATTAGATTACCCACAAACAAAAATACACAAAATGTTATATTTTTAGTATCAAGAATTTTTATGTTATCATTTTGTCAAGTTATTTAAATATGTAATAAAAGTATAAAAATAAGGTCATTTAATGATTGTCATGTTTTAATAATAAACAGGAATAAAAGTACTAAAAAGTATAAGAAAATATTGTATAAAAATTTGTCACTTGACCTCTTTGTTAATAAAATATACAAGTGAGAAAAGCCAGAAATATATATAGTAGTTTTAATCAGCAAAAATTAAGTTTTATATATAAAATGTAAATGTTAATGTAATTAGGGTTTACAAGCAGGTCATATTTAAATGTGCTGCAAATGGAAAGGTATTATTCCAGCTAAGGGTTAATAGCAGGGTAGACTGGGCTCTTTAGCTTTGGTTGGCAACCAGTCTAGGAGAAGAACAACTCTGAATTCAAAATCAGTTGGGCATGGGACTGGCAACTCCACTCCATAAAAAAAACACCTGCTACAGATACCACAGTAATTACAATTAAAATGAGAAGGTCCACCAACAGTCTACAGACTTGATATATATATATATATATATATATATATATATATATATATATATATATATATGCTGAAGCCTCCTGAAGAGTGGTTTGAACAATTACAAAAAGTTTTTCTACAAAATTTTACAGCCAAGGTGATGAGTATAGCATCAATCATCTAAGTGACAAATTTTATTTGTATTAATCATATATATGTGTGTGTGTGTGTGTGTGTGTGTGTGTGTGTGTGAATAAAGACAAAAGGAAATCTTTTCTTAGCCAACATGTTTACATGTTTTGGCCTCTGATGCATTTCATCAAATTAAATGTAAGGATTTTATTTGGCATTTTTATTTTATTTTTTTTTTCCTTACTTTTGTCTTAATAAAGTCCATCAGAAGATGAAACACATTGGCAAAGGAAAGTTTCCCTTCTATCTTTTGTTCTTATTATCTTTTTACAGATATATTTTATTTATATCTGAATTTACACACACACACACACACACATACATACTATTACTTTAAATGTTATATTTAGTGGATGCATATTTAGTGGATGCACATTTTTGAGTAGACATCCCTGTTTTTAGACAGTGTAAATTTATGTCTACCAGCCTGTGCATTTGAGAGTCTTGATAAAGAATATATATCTTCTGACAGGGTTTGAACCTCTGTCTGCTTTGTAGGAGAAACGATTACACACATATATGCATAGATAAATAGACAGGTAAATAGATGTAGAAAGTATTGGCAACGGATAAGGTATGTCTTACATTTTTTTAACAGGTGCAAATACACACATCAGTTACATTTGTCAGGTTATTAAGATACATTTTATAAGACTATTCTGATAATATTGCACACCAGAATTTATCCTTCCTTGTTGCACAACCGCATTTTTTGATGATTAGCCTCCTATCCAATCTTTCTTATACAAAGGAAAATATTTAGGCATTTGAGAAAAACAAATGATTAGATTTATTATAGATTAATATAAATTTATTATAGATTAATATAAATTTATTATAGATTTGCAAATGCAGAATTTATGGTTTAAATAGCTTATTGATGTTTAAGTAGTTTTTACCACTATGAAAAAAAATCTATGCAAATAAACTAGTATAATGGTTAGAGGAAGATCTATAGAAGCCTGATATAAGCCACTATATGGCTTGGATAAATTGCCAGTTAATTGTAGTTCTGCATAAATCCTTGTAAATTATGCATCTTATAGTCTGGCAAATATGTTATGATGTCATATTAAACTAACTCAGTTCAAAAGTTGAGACTGCCACTGTAGCCATTGCTTGATCAGTCTTTTGCCAGTCATTATCTGTGTAAATTCGTTCACGAAATCCTTGCATATTGCAGGAGCAAAAAAGAGCCAGAAATCATAACTACAAGTGCGGGTCTTCTGTTTCCAGCCTCCAACAAGAAAGTTCCAAATATTATTTCTAATTACAGAAATTATAAAAATTTATCTATCACAAATTTTATCTAGATACCTTAATCTTGGACTGGAGATAGGATATCTAATTAAATGTGTAGGCAATCTCTGGTAAAACAGAAAAAATTGCATTGACATATTCAAATACTTTATTAATATATACTCATCTAAAAAAGTTAATATATAATAGAAATGGTCAATTTGGGATTTTACGAGCATTGTATTAGAGAGGTAAGTTTGATGTTGATTTTCATTTTAATAAAAAGATATCAAAAGGTAAGTTTATGTATGTGTATATATATATATATATATATATATATATATGGAAAACTGAGTGTTAGTTCTCCCTCCTACCAAATGGTATGTGTATCTCTATTGTTTTAAAGTGTTGTAAGTTATGTGATGTATTTATTGCAAATTGTGTCCCTTTTTTAATCCTAACCATTTTTTACTTTTATTGTTAGACCAAAATACTTCACTTTTGATTTTTTTTCTTTATTTTTGAAATTTGTACTGTAAAAATTGCATACAACTACTGCTCTAAAACAACAAAAGTACTTCCAACACAACCTCTGTAAAATGAAGACCCCCATGTCAGGTATGATTTGAAGGTTGAAATATCATTACCACTAACAATTACACCCCAGCAATACCTTCCAATGTTACTAGGCTTTACTGGTTTTCCACACAATCTGGAAACACCAGATCCATGCATAGACAACTGCTGTCTGATCTTGGAGCCTTTTAATATATTTCCTCTTTTCTGTTTTTTAAAATTCAAATATTTAATATTTAGTAATATATATATATATATATATATATATATATATATATATATATATATATATATATTATTATTATTATTATTATTATAACACCTACAAACATGCTTGTATGTATACTTATATAAAATAAATGTTGTTAGTAGATGTTACATGACAATTATTCTTGGTCTTTTACTGATACATATGATGTGTTTTCCTCCTCCTCTTCCAGGCTATCACTGGGACACATCTGATTGGGCGCCCCATCCAGCATTACCCAACATCAGCGAGCTCCCAGTGAAAGAGGTCCTCGACTCGCCGAGTTCATCACCGCAGAGTAATGATTCAAACACACATGTCGACCAACCCAACATGGAGGATGTGAATGACGCTGAAATGGACGATCAGGAAAACAATTCCGAATATGTTGGAGATTCAGAATGCACTGAAAACTTTGATGAAATGGAAGATAATGAGGACCCAAATGCTGACTTCCACCCGGTTCCTAACTTCCAGCAATTCCTTGGATTGGCCCCACATATTGACGATGAAGACAACCATCATGGCCCACAAAACCTCCACCCAAACATCATGCCGAACTTTGGTCAAATACGTCAGAATGGGGTCCTTGATAATTGGCCAGCACCACCAGGAGCCGAGAATGGTAACGATCAGAACAGTGATGAGGATGAAAATGGAGAGCCATACCCCTTGCCTCGTCATTTTCGACCTCGACTTCCTGTCGACGGTAGTGATTATGAGCATTCAGCAGCGTCCATGATTGATGATATGAGTGTGTCCTTTGGCGGCTACACATCTACCAATGCCTCTTGTTCAGATATCTCTGGACTTTGCGACATTGAAGACAGCGAGATGAACCTCAGTGATGAGAGTGACATTGATATCCAGCCGGCTAAGTTTTCTAGTGCCCATCTCCACACTCAGGTGTGAAGAAATATATATGTTTATACATACTATAAATATTGTGAATATGTAAATCTCAGAAGGAACTGAGACAAACTGAAAAGCTGAAAGAAAAATACTAAGAGTGGACTAAGGCCATAACCCAAAATAACAAATAAGGTCATAGCAAAAGATAAAACACAGATTAAGAAAGAAAAAAAAAAAAAAAAGAAAAAATTTAAAATAATTAAAAAAATCAATTAAAAATAATAAACAGATAATATTGTACTGATGAGCCCCCAGCCCTCCCCATGCAATCGCTATTCTTCAATAATTGTAATAAAAATTATAAAATCTTAATAATAATAATAATAATAATGAAACTGATGATGAAGACTTGAACCATGACCACTACGGATGCACTTACCCATGTGCACTAACATGGAGTCTTCAGTTCTATGTTGTACTCTGCCTTTTATACCAGCGATTGATGCCTTTATTAATTCACAGTGGCCAATATACAGCCATGAGGGTTTAGTTCCTCGCATTGCGACTCCTTATCCTAAATTACCAACTCTTGTTTAGCATTTTGTGAAACGAATCCGTTCATGACTCCCCAATCCCGTCTCTTACTCCAATGTCTGCGTTTAAAAAAACACACACACACAAAAACAAAGCAAAACTTTTAAAAACCCAAAAGAAAGAATTTTCTGTTTTTTTTTTTTTGTTTTTGTTTTTTTTTAATGTGGATCATCTTTAAAAGAATCGCTATCATTGGTGCTATTTGAAGGTCATAGCTTCTAATGTGATAAGGGGAGATGACTCATGCAAAATGTTTCATAATTTCAGGTTTGACTATATATATATATATATATATATATATATATATATATATATATATATATATGCAATATATATGCAGTCAATGGACATTGGTCAAAAGATATAATTATTCATAAATAATAAATGACAAGCATGACTGTAAAAAAAAAAAATGCAAAATAACAGTATATTGAAGTAACAAGAAATTGGAAAAAAAAACGGGGGAGATAAATAATGTCTGTAAGGATAATCGAGAAAAATTCTCTGCTGTACACCTTTTGTGCTGCTTGTATATTTGGGAGAAGAAATTTCATCTGGAGTTTTTTTTTTTCTTTGTTTTCTTTTTTTACTTTCTTTTTTTTTATCCAAATAAACTTTTGGAAATCATTTACGTAAACGAGAAAATAAAATGAAAAAATTTTGACATATGCATACATTATATATACATATATATATATAAATATATATTCATATATTTTTTTCCAAGACAAAAAAATATCAATGCCTCCATGATTTTTTAAAATTGCTATCAATATTATTTGAGGGAAACATTTTTTAAACATTTTTTTTTCCTATTCCTCCTCCATGTTTCTTCTTTTTAATAAACAAACAAAAAAAAAATTGCCGGCTGTTTTCCGAAAAAAATTATATGTGAATTTGTAAATACCGGCTGCATTAAATGGTAAGAAATTATATCTGAAAATCATTTGTAATTCATTGATTTGTTTTTTTTTTTTATTTTGTAAATCTTTTATTACTTTAAAAAAAAAAAAAACGATGACAAGGATTTTTTATTTTAATGGTCTGTTTCCTGGTCTTATCAAAGAATTCTTTTTGGTAATTTTTCTGGATAAGTTTCTCTTCTTCCTGGATTAAGAGAACATTGGAATATGCAGTAGGCATAAACAGGATGAAAGAAAGTGTAAAAAGATTTACAAAGAAATTATGATCTAATTTACTGACCCATAAAATATTTCAGAATCTATAACATCCTACCATCAAAAACACTGAGATTTGTTAAGGGGCTTCTTTCAGCATTGGAAACTCTTTATTACTTTATTTTCAAAGATTATTACTACATATAATAATAATAATAATAATAATAATAATAATAATAATAATAACAACAACAACATGTTATTCACCAGAGTAATGGTAATGATAGAGATAATGAACCCCCATCATTGTTATTGTGACTGTCCATTTTGGAATAATTACTAAAACCCTGAGGATGTGAAAATGAATAAAAAAAAAGAAAAATTACAATGAAAATAAATGAATGTATAAGAGAAAATCAGGGGTTAAGCAATACATTTGGACTTCCATCTTTGTCAAGTTATTTTTTTATCAAAATATGTTCCAGTCAATCATCTTGTCAAGATTCTAAAACAATTACACACACACACACACACATATAAAAGAGAGACAAAATCAGTCTGTGTGAGTGAAATATATATGCATATATATATATATATATATATATATATATATATATATATATATATATATATATATATATTATTGTGTGTAATCTTTTTATAAATGTGGTGTGTGTTTATATACACATGTCACAAATTATCATACTCTATGAAGTTAAAACTATCAAATAGTTTCATAATTAAAACTGTTTTGTATGCTTAATACTTGCCTGCAAAGGTTATATAGATATATATATATATGTGTGTGTGTATACAACAATTGTATATGAAATATACATACATATATATATATATATATATATATATATATATATATATATATATGGATACATATATATATATATATATATATATATATATATATATATATGGTCTATATGGTCAATAAATTAATAAAGATTCAAATGATTTATCTTTCAAACAATTCTTGATTAAATTATTGGCTGTTGTCATTTTAGTTTTCTATTGAGCACTTTCTTGACCAAAATTCTGCTCATCTTGAAATACGTTAAATTCTAGCAATTTTACATATTTCAATGGTTGTTATTGTTCTGTGCTGTATATAAATATATATATATGTGTGTGTGTGTGTGTGTGTGTGTATTTGGATGTATATATGTCTGTTTTCATTTGTTTTTATCTCTGGTTTGTATTATCAATACATGAATTCCTCCCACACACACACATACACATGCACACACATTTAATATTTGGCTGTGTGTGCTTTGCAATCTTAACGATCAGCATGCTTTGTGACTGGAACATTATGATAATGTGGCAGTGATGAAGATGTTAGTTCAAATGACTTACTCATTCGTAATGACACCATAACTCATTAATTCACAGAGTTGGGAATGAAGATTGGCCATGTATTTGAAAGAAAGAAAAAGTATTGATCAGAACAATGCAAAACTTTGTACTTAAAATGTGTAATAATAATACTACTACTAATAATAATAATAGTAATGTTGTCTTTTACCATCTGTCATTTGCTAGAGTTTAGTGCAACACTCCTTATAGGCGTGTTTTAAATTTAAGTACATCTCAAAGGACATTGTTCATATGGTTATTACTTTACCTGCTGAATAGTATACAATATTATGTTGTACTTAGTGTTGTCCTTAAAGGGCACTCCTTGAAAAACACAAATGCAAACCACATTCAAGATTTTAACCTGAAATATAAACAACAATAAAAAAGAAAAATGTTTGAAAAAAATCAAAGAAAGAATGAAAATGACTGAATTAAATGAATGAAGAATAGGACTTTGTTTTCTTTTTTTTTTTTTCCTGCCTGTGTGTGTGTGTGTATGTGTTTATATGCATGTCCAATCACATGATAATGTTTGTCTCCATCCCTATTTGGGTTGGATGTTCTTTTATAGAATGTGCTGTTCTTACCAATACAGACAGTCCGTTAATATTGAATTTCTCTGAAGCCATGTTTGATCAGCCTATTGTTGCTGCATGTATAGAATATTTGTACAAGGTTAGCTTTTAATGAAAAATACAAAACATAAGAAGAAAAGCCAAAAGAAGCATTGAAATGAAAAAAAATGAAAAGAAAAGAATCTCTGACATATTTAATTATTTTATTTGCATTTTTATGGATTTTATTTCTTTATTATTTTATTCCCTTTGTGTTCCTTCATTTTTTTTTCTCAAAGTAAACATTTCCCCACTGAAACTTAGCTCTTAATAATGACTGCCACATCCTTTATTTATGTAAAGATCTAACTTTTCATTGCAGTTAATCTGTGAGCATTTTCCAGATGTCCTTTGGGCAGAGCTGTGGCAATATATATATATATATATATATATATATATATATATATATATATATATATACATACCATACAATATATGTTCTATTTATGTGGTTGAAAATTTAGCTACTCCAAGTTTTTATTTCATATGCTAAAAAAAACTCAGTGTCAAAGAAAATTAAGTTACCAAAAGTTCAATCATTGAAAATTTTGCATGAAAATGAAATTAAATGGGTAGAAATTAATGAACAAACATTATAATATCAAGTTTTACTAAAATAGTCATATAAAAAGGAAATCTGGTCTCAGAATGTTGTCTTAAATTATAAATTTGAACTGTTGATTTTAAGTTCTATACAATCTATTATTTTCACCATTTAACTGCCCAAGTGAATGTATGTATCATTTACATTTCAAGTAGCCTTATATTTTATTTAAAATAGGGTATAATTAATAAACAAATTTTGAGATCATGTTTTCCAGGCCTACTTTTCTGACTACCTTTATTGCTACCTCTAAGAGTTACGGCCCTTTGAAAACGATTGCATTCGTTCTTTCAGTGAATCAATAATCAGAAACAGGTCATTGATAAAACTAAAACAACAAAATATCAACTGCCATATTTCTTATGTTAATACGGTTTTTATAAACCAAAGGACAACATCACTATTGCCTCTGTAAAATTCAGTATTATTTCGGAGTAAAAATAACACAAGAAATGCAAACTTACATGGGGAGACATGATTGCTTGTTAATAAGAATGTTTTGCAGTTACACGTAAGTGATCTACTTACTTTGGTAAGTTTTTCAACATAAAATTTTCCCCATAACACTGCTTAATAAACCCACAAAGATGAATATATATTCTCTATTTTTAAATTAGGTTAAAACTCAACAGTGAGTATTTGAGGATCAAATTCATGATATACCTAGATAACTTCTAAACATGTGATAAGTCTCTTTGTTAAAATTAAAAACAAACATTGCGATTAGTAACAAGAATGTTCTGACCATGTTCCCAC